ACTAATTTCACTTGATCATATTAAGAATAATCGTAGCAAAATTATAGTTAAGCAGACTCACGCAGCTATCTTTTGATAATGCTAGAAATCCGGTAGTTCTCAATAAAAGAACCTAGAAGTAAGCCTCGTTGACCAAAAGAGGATCACTCCAAGGTACAAATATCCCACACAGTACTCATTCCAAACAGAAAATTCCCCATAGCTCTTTTGATAATCAAGATATCTAACCTACAGGTGAAAACATTATTTGTAACCCTAATGTTGCTAGGAGACGCGGTAGCTGAATAATTAGCACGCTGGACTCCAGGTCGAGAGGTCTGGGCTACAAACCTTGTTGGGTCAATGTGTCGTGTTCTTGAGCAAAACAGTTTACTCTCACAGTGCTTCTCTCTACCCAGGAGTATTTTAAGGGAACCGGTACATTTTCAGCGAAAACGTTTGACAAATTTGATACTTTGAAGGAAACGCTCAAGGCAAAAACCAACAAGAGGGAGTACTGGGACCCACTAAACGTAAAGCTGAACGGCCTTACATTCTGAAGCCCCTGAGATCTGGTAACCCTATATGGATTACCATACGTCCGATGCCTCCTGAGAAACAGCCTCTATATCAAGGTGAGGCGATACATTAAAGCATAGTGGCACGCTGCGTGACCAAGGAAGTTACATATTGGTGGAAGGTTCTTTGGAAACCTTACTCTTGTTTAATGGTTCATTGTAATTAGGGAGAGCAATCTTCAATGATTATTTAAAGGGATGTAGAAGTATCCTTGGTTTTGCTCCACCGAGGATTATTTGACTCTTGAATAAAGTTCTAATTTACACACAAGTTTCTTCTTTCTGTTGGTGGTCGAGGAAACACAAATTATCTTCCTCATCAATCACACGTGAAACTAAAACCATTCACGACTTGATCACGTGCATCGTTTCCCGCTCTTAAAGGTGCTTAATTTTGTTTGAGTTCTCAATGGCTCTTTGTGATTCTTCCTTTTCATCTGATTGGCCATTGCAAGGATTTTAACGCTTTGTAGCTGCATTTCTAGTTCTATTACTCCACCTGAGTGCTACCTTTTCAGAGCCAAAACAAAAAGTCGACGAGCTCTGATTTGATCTCATTTCTTTTCAGTGGTGCAAACCGCAGCCTTCGACCTAACTTGTGGAATTCACTGCAAATTTCTTTGGGATGGATTTGGCAATTGGGTCAATGGTCGACAAGGGTTAGTCACATGGCGGCCTTTCATAGGAGGAGACGGTAAGATGAAGACTCCTTTCCGGCTCTAACATTTTCTGGGTTATGTCACGCATTCGTTCGCCTGTGTCACGCGTTTTTACACCATTATCACACATTTGTATCCCATAGTCACCCCTACCTTTCTCATGGTCACGAGTTCTCACCTCATTGTCGGTTTGTCACGCGTTCTTTCCTTACTAGTTCGTGTGTTTGGAACGCACGACGAAGCCTAGGGATTGTCTAGATGGGTAGCCATCCGGAATAGATTCAAGATACAATCACAAAGACTCACCATAGGTGTTGTGACAAATTGCGATAAAACTACACTATAATAATTTCTCTTTATGAAAAGGCAGTCTCTTTGTCGATGGAAGTTGTTACTGACGTCTGAACAAACTGAGTGCAAGTCATCATCATCGAGAAAACTGAAAGAGAAAATTGTATTTTCCAACGAAACATCGTTGAGAGAACTAGTCTAACTGCTTCGTATAATTTTACTCCAGATAAAGATAGGCGCAGTTCCTTAGATCCTAGTCCTTTGCGGAAAGATAGTGTGCTGTGGATATATGGCGACTCGGTCAGTGAGCAGTTTTTCTGGGGAGTCAGGTCGAGACCGCTGTGCACTAACGTTTTCAAGTGGTGCGGGCACACATACAACTGGATATATCAGTTGAAAGGTGATGACGTTGAATTCCAATATATTTCGAATTTCAATAAGATTTCTGAGTAAGATTTGGCGCTCGATCAATCGGAAAGGGCTCACGTTTTCATTCATAGTCTCACGCTTGTACCAAAACGACTATCGGCACATTCCCATAGCAACAAGTTCTTCAATGCTTTCTTTCTTTGTTGTTCGCAGGAAATATTTCTTCTGCTAAAACCGCAGATGACAATCTCGATTTTAATTTTATGAGAGTTGTTAGTGAACTTTTAGATGTCATATCCAAACCATTTTTTGACAAGAACAGTGTTATCTTATTTAATGCCGGACTACATTACTTGGAGAGTACAAACTTCTCCAACTACCAGAAAACGATTGAGTCGCTAATAAGACTCGTCCAAGAAACAAAGATGGTGAAGAGGTCTGATGGAAATCTACTTTTTCCTGGAGAAATGATCTGGAGAACAACAACGGCCTTGAATAAACAAAAACTGGACGGGAAACACATTCAAGCTAGGAGATTTTTAACATACCAGGTATGAAATGTTTATTTATTAGGAGTACTTTCCTACAGATGTTATTCACTCGGATATATCTTCCATTTGTTTTTGACAATATTCGCATCAAACACCATTTTGTATTAATTTTTTGGATCTATATCAGTATCTGGGCAACTGCCCACCTACCCCTCCCCTAACCCAACATTAAACCTAAATTGTTATCAATTGACTGTTGTTGGGTTAGGGGAGGGGTAGGTGGGCAGTTGCCCAGATACTGATATTGATCCAATTTTTTTTCTCAGCAGCGAGTTCTTCTCTTTAACGCATTCGCCACCTCAGCAATGTGTAGAGCCAATGTCCCTGTCCTGGACGTTCATCCGCTGACCGATTCTTATCCATACGGGACGGGCACACCCTCCAGACCGAGAGACGCTGTGCATTATGAACATTTCGTATTCGAGTCGGCGGAGAGACTATTGGAAGATTATTTTTACAGAACTTACAAGAGAGAAGGGTGACAATTTTTGTCAACAGATAGCTTGTAATAAAATCATTTTCTTATCTGTGGTGTGCTACCATTTTCATTTCATCGGAACCGGAACCGAAGAGTTAGAAAAAGAACAAAGCCAATCGGAAATAATTGCAGAACCGTCTACAATTAGACGGGACCGTTCGAAATCAGACGGAACCGTCCAAGATTGAAATTAGACAGAGCAGAGCATAATACTTATTTTTCTTCTGTTTTGTCAAGAAAGTACTGTAGTACGCTTTGATTTACCGGCTTTTCTAAGATTTAAAACAAAATTTCTAACAACTCATCCGTTAGAGTCGACATTCTGGCATAGTTTTTGTCGAACGTATCTTAACACAAACTGCTAACTACCAGAACAAATAAAGGATTATTTGTTTCCAATTATTTCTGATGTGAATAGAGCACCAAAACAGCGACTGGTACTAAAACATCACGTGCTACGGAAAGAACCTTATTATATTTTTCCAAGGTTAAATCAAACAAAAAGACTACAGGGACGACAGAAATTCAATTCGTTTGACGATCGTTTAATCCCTACCGCATGGAATGAAGCCATTTGATGCTTTTTGGGGACGAAGAAATCATACTTTTGAATTATCACAACAGAGGTTTGTCGACAATAATTTCAAATCAGTTAAAATTATATTTTTGCTGGTGTTACCGGTCGCAATACAAGCGTGACTGAACAAAACAAAGGTAATTTCACGTTTAGCGCTGAGATAGTTAATGAGGTTTCTTGAAGAACAGCCATGAAGATTATTGCTTCGTTAGTAATAGCATTGATGGCCAAAATCTCGATATAAGCTGAAAGAAAGCTGCGAAACTTTAAGAGTCGGTTTCTCTATTTTGGCTTAATCTTTGTTCTAGTTGCTCTAAGATTATTTTTGGAGGGTTACGAGTCAGGAATCTTGAAAATTGTGCAATTTAAGCATTGGGATCTTTGTTATTATTACAGTTTTATTCCAAAAATTGAACCCGAGATCAGGTTGCCAGAAGTCGAGTGTCTTCAGAAAGAACCAATGAGCTGAGTGTTAATTCTTATCGTCTCAAGAAGCAATATCCGTGTCTGAATAAAAATAATTAAGACCTTTTTTTACCCTAACATCAACAGGCATATTCTCCATACTGCTCTCTATACATTTTCTAAGGTGCTGACAAGGAGAGTCTGTTTAACAATCAAGAGCTTCTTAAATTGGCGGTCATTTCATATATTCTCTTGACCATAATGTGTTATTCTGAGGTGATGAGATAAGGAGAAAGTTCGTGCTGGTCTTTTCCAAACTATAATGATAGTTTCCTTGAAGAAAGTCGCGAGTATAACTGTCATTGATCGCGTTCACGAACCTCCTACTGTTAATTAATTGTTTTGTGGTTCTGTTTACTATTTTGTATAACAAAACTTTTCCTTAATAGACATTGTGTCTATGAGCCGTTAGCCATGCATTATCGTTGGTTTCTGGCTCATTTCTGTTCATTTATCCTAGGCTCCTCTCATGTTCAAATCGCTCTTAGTTTTCAAGAGTGCTTTCTATGACCGAGTCTCGCAGAGATGTTGATGTTTATCTGGAACAGCGTGACGAACAAACCTATGCTAACAGCGCATCCCAGAATGCATTTTATGCATTTCTCCGCTGTCCTCCAGATTGGCGGCGCAACCTCACTCGATTCTGTGCTTCGGCCCAAATTCTCCTGACAAGAGGCAGAACTTTACGAAGTTTACCGAGGGTGTTTATACTGCGCAGAGCATTTTTTCTCTTTTGGATATTAACAGTTATCCTGTTCGTGTACCTCAAGTGGTATTTTCCCTTATATCTGACGAGCACGGTAAATCGCAACAGTTTAGAGGAGTTCAGGTGGGACTGGTGTCGAGTGCGAAGGGTTTCGATAAACTGGGAATTACTAAGATCCCCTTGTGAAGGGAACACCAAATTTGGTAGAAGTCTACCCGGTTGGGGTATTGAAAACAGGACTGACCCGAGGCAAAGCTTTATTCCTTATATGGATATCAGACCTGCAGGCGAGTTTAGTAGGTTCAGTATTCAGTCCCAAACGTCCAGTGGCCAACCTAAGGCTATCGGGGGTGACGATTGGCGGGTTCTTATATGGGGCCCATCAGTACTGGCACCGACAGTGATTGATCACAAAAATGGAACGTACGAGGTGTTGTTTCTTATACTGGAGCCTGGTACCTACTCTGGATTGATTGTTTTGGATTACTCCCTGTGCGACGGAATGAAAAATCCACCTGAATACTGGTTTATGATTGGTAAGTTGTGGTAGACGATTGTTTTCTATGAATCGTAAAGAATTTCTGAGAACCTCAAAAAAAAATTATCTTATAACATGGTTCCCGGAATCCTCTCAAGGAAGAAAAGCGATCAAACGTCTGAGTGAGCGAACGTTGTTTTGGCTAAGAGGTATGCTTTCAGGCTGTCAGAACAAAGATGTGTTATTTCACTTATTGGAGCTATAACCAGCCACGGACGTTTGTTATTCACGGTGTTTTAAAACCGTGTTTCCTTTTTCGTAGAGCTACAAATGAAATGGTCAGTCAACAGGACACCTGTTATCGGAAAAGCTTTGTGTTCAGAGAGTCTCAAGTTTTCCTTTCTCCCATTTGTTTCCTTTCCAGATTTTATTTGAAGTATTTTATACTATTGTTTTACCTGAGAGAGATTTTTTGTATGTTTCCTTTCAAATTTTGCGTGAGAAGTCGGTGAAAATTGATCAACACGCGCTTGTTCGACGCCTAGCCACCGTGTTCCCTCGGGAGCTGGGGGGTTTCCCTGGTTATGAATACATCGATCAGGAGTTACAGTCTGAGCGGGAAAGATTTAGTTCGTTTCTCTCTTTGTCCATCAGGAAATATCCATGGAAACGGGCAACCACACGGGACCCTAATGGAACCCTACGTCTATTTGCAAACTCCCCTTTGGGAAGGAATACCGCTGACAATAGAAGTGGCGTCACCGGTTGGTCCTACAAGATATGAAGGTAGCGCACCTCTCATCACCTAGGTCGGCCCCGAGTTATTCTGAGAGGGTAATTTATTGTTAACAACTGAGTTGAAAACGCAAATTGGCCACCGTAAAGAGTAAAAAAACCGACGAGCGTCTATCGCTCTGACGAAGGGCTAACGATCGAAACGTCAGCTTTTTTACTCTTTACGGTGGCCAGTTTACGTTTTAAACTCAGTTGTTAACACTAAATTACCTGCTATACTCTCCCACCGACGCAGCACCACAGTTTCTTTAGAAACTTACCCCCTTTATTCCGAGAGGGGATTGGCACGAATCCAGGTTTTAATTCCATAGGAAAAACTTTCATAGGGTGAAACCACACGTAGGTGGAGGTGAGAGTTCATGGACTGGATTACGCGCACTTAACTAATTGGAGCAAATTCCCATAAAAAAGTCGGAAGAAATCTGAAATTGTTACAGTCAAAAGAAAAAAAGAAACGCTCGCACCACTTTCTTATTCAATCAGATTCAAAATTAAATCAATTGCGACTTGTTCACCAGCGCTTTCCTGCGATTAAGACAATTTGCTTGTTTTGACTTTGAGTTCTCATTGGCTCTCCGCGATATTTTCCTTCTTCTGATTGGCTGTCGTGATAACTTTAATTTTGGTTTTCAGACACTAAATCAAAAATCGCAACTGGTCGGTTTTGGAAAATGTGGAAAAACCCTTCCCAATTTCAAATATGTTTAGTTAGAAAATTTTTAAAGGGAAGTTTACATTTTTTGCGATCAACGTGTTGTCTCAAACCTGCTATAGACTAAAGAGTTAAAAAATATATTTTTAATGTGTGTTCTGCTGTGATCAACACTCTTTTGGAATATCTCAATACTCAATTATCAATCTTTTAGCTTTTTGGACAAATTCTAACGTCGTTTCACACTTTCAGAATTTCTCAGTTATGGATTTGGTAATCCTCCTTCTTGCGGGGAGGATTGCAAATTCTTATGGGATGGCTTCGGCCGCTGGTCTAACGGAACCTGGAAACCACAAGTGGAAGGTAATGCAGGTCGTTTCACCAATATACAGCAAGGGGATCAAATCAGAGGCATACGTTCGCGTGAAATTCACATGTTTTCGGAAACTTCATTCTTTCTCATAGCCCGATCAAATTTACTGACCAGCCGCTATTATTAAATCGCTGGAGACTTCACATCATCAGAAATCATTACTTGAAGGAATCAGGCTGCAACACAATCAGAGTTAAAGTAAAGAGATTTTTCAAAATATGACAAAATGTAAAGCCGATCTTGCTCGTGAAAATTTATTTGCATCAAAATAGAATTCAAAGCATTTTCACGTCAAAGATCTCCCACTTCTCCTCGTTTTGAAACGAATGCGCATGCCTTAGAAATCTCGAAAATAGCTTAATGTGAAATGGGCTGTTCTTTCAACTTCTACAGGTTTGTGGACGAAACATTCTCCAAGGAACCGCGAGGGTGTACTGTGGATCTATGGAGATTCAAATGCGGGTCGGTTTTATCGCTCTATCCGCCGAACTCCGCTGTGTAGAGCGGTTTTCCGCGCTTGCAGTTTCTCGTACAACTGGATTTATCCAATTAAAAACGCTACAGTGGAAATGCAGCAACAAAATTTCCTACCAATAAATGTGTCCCGAGTGTTGGACGCCATTGCGAAAGTAATTCATCTGCCACAAATGAACAACGAGAAAAGTGTCATTCTCTTAAATCATGGTCTGCATTTTATGACTTCGACAAACTTCACAACATACCGCGAGGTTGTCGACGGAATAGTAGATTTGTTTAAAGAGACAAGGACAGACAACAAAGGAAAAGAACTAAAGTTCCGAGGGAAAGTTATTTGGAAGACAACCTCTGCTATTCACCGCGAAAGGTTAAGATATCCCCATCATCACAAGCGAAGATTTTTAACTCGTCAGGTACGTCCATTGTGTAATTTCTGTAATGTTGAATTTAACAGTTTGCGCCAGAGATCAATTTGAAATACGTGGTTAAGTGAGTTGAATGATCGGCAAAAATCAAACACTAATGAAATTTTAATGGTAGCTACCAGACCGCGCGCAAAATTATATGTTTGTGTTTACTCTTTGTGACTGAGTAAATCAATGGCGAGTTCTAAGACCAAAATTCAACCAGTTACCACTACATGGTATATGATGGATAGAAACGTGCACAAGCGTGGAAACAGTCTTGCGGAGATTCGTCGCCTGTTGTGTGCATACCAGGAATTGTACGCCTAAATTCATATTTAAAATCGAATTATGCTTCGTGTAACGCATCGATCAAATGTTAAGCATGAACAAATTGATTCTATGGATTTTCTACGCCGAAAAAAAATCATGAAACAAAGTAAGGGAAAAGGAGAACTTTAAATTTTTTCGAACGCGAAGTTTATTCAGTTACAGTTATTCTGTTGATCCCTTTTGCTCAGGGTTTTATCAAAAAGCTACACGTTTTTAAAACAGTATGAATTACTGGACTTTCAATTATCTTAAGTTTCAATGACAATTTTTGGCCGCGTCTTAGCCGTTTCAACTCCCATACATGCTCAGACGTTTGACCGTTGTGTTGCTTTCTTCTAAAGAATGTAGGTCGATATAATGTGATCACTGAAAGAAAATGATCAGTTGAGTGAAACTGCCAGGAAGCATTGTCAGATAACTTGGAAATTCTCTTTTCAAATTTACACCCTCTAGCGGGTACAACTGTACAACGCTTACTCCACCTGGGCTATGTGTCAAGCTGGTTTTGAGGTACTTGATGTGTACCCAATTAGTGCGTCTTTTCCAAACGGAACCGACAACAGCTTGGATCCTTACGATGCCGTCCACTACAAGGATTTGGTGTTCAAGCCTGCGGAACACATTCTTCTCGAATACTTCAGCCCTCGGTGGACAACAGTCAATAACACAAACAGAGAAGTGTGAAGCCTTGGAGATGAACGAGTTAGTTTTTACTTTCTTAAAAGAATTGTTGTGGTACGTTGGTGAAACAATTAGTTGGTTACCAAGGGGATAAAGGAAAACAAACCGCCGAAGAGAATTTTGGAAAGCTGACGTTTTCGGCGTTTGCCCTCTTCAGGGGATTAATATTATTAATAACATTTTATTTGCCCCACTTAACACTCGAAACGTCAGCCTTTGGCTAGCGGTTAAACTGCCTTTACGAAATCATCTCCGATAACCAGCAAATTTTAAAACTTGGAGAAATTTACGGTGTATGAAACAATCCAAGGAAATTGATTATACTAATTTATATTTAAGCTCTACTAAAAATATTTCTCTTATCCTTGATGATGCCGTTGATCGGCAACAGCTCGAATTTTTAAATTTTACCTCTGATTTTTTTTAAAGGCCTTATTCGAATTTTGATATTGTTTATTTAAAAAATGTTACTGGAGGACAGCGTGCAAAGATTATAAAAATTTTGTGGTTTTGCCACATTCTCTCACAAGTCTTAGCATACATTAACGAATGTCCAGTTCGCAGGCAGCCATTTTGGTTTTTTTTTCGCTAGCTGATTTTTCCTGGTTCAGAGCTGCCCATCAAAGGGTTTTTTAAATTGTATTTCTCATTATTTCAGAGGCCCAACCCTGCAATAGAATTGACTTTCTTTTTTTTCTTGTTATTTTAATAAATATGAAATGTTGTCACGGTCAATCAGTATTTCTAAACGTATTAGCTGGACGGTTGGAAAAGAAATTCCATATCTACGCGCACCTATGTATTATTCTCTAAAATTATACAATTTTTTTCATAGATTTCTTAAAATTGGGATAACTTGATAAACCTCGCATTACAGGATATAACATGTACTTCAGCGAGAAGTACTATAATTAAATAATATTCTTGTAATTCAACATTGAAATTACAACCAAGCTCGGACTCATGTCATTCTGTTTGTCATTTGTAAATTTTAATAGAAAATACATGAACGTTTAAGCTTTCAATGAAGAAAAAAAAATTGGAATTTCTTTATTTTCTTATGCACCTCAAGTTGAAAGTTCTGCTTAATTACAATCAATAGTAAAGGCGTAGTATCATCAATGAGACCCGAGTAATTCAACAGGTCTTACGGCAGACGTCACAAATCACGTGACACGGATAACGACGGGTGAACAAAGAACAAAAAAATCAGCAAGTGAATTTTACGATTCACCGGTAAGGAGGATTCTATTATTCTCATTTAATCACACCACCTGATGTCACTCAAGAACAGATATTTCTAATGTCTTGGAACTCGAAGATGGGATAACGAGCAACGGTGAGAACAACTGCTTTCTTAAAGTTGAGAGGTAAGAGAAACGGCTTATTGATTAGCGCCGGTTAAGTAGCCGCTCTACCAGCAGTTTCAAGTATAGCATAGCTGGAATATCTTCATTGTCTCTGCGTACAATCTCTCAAATTAATTTGACTATGGTTGAGCTGCGAGTTCTGTTGTTTGAATAAAATCTATTTCGGGCGGGAGAAAATCGAAAGCAGGGACCGTAATTGTTTTGATAGCTCGGAGACGAGTGCAAAGGGGAACAGGTTGCTTTCAGACAGGTTCCATTCAACTGTTCAAGTGCCAATTTGTTTTTTTTTTTGGAATTAGGTCATTTTTTCGTCTCTGGAGTGAACAATTTTTCTCTTTGTGTTGCGCGCAGATCATATGAACGGAATTGATGAGGATGACCCAGATTTCATCATTACATCTTCTACTGACAACCAAAATTGTGACAACATGCGAAGGAAAAAATTGATTCCGTCCATCCAGCAGTCCATCCAAACACGAGTACATAAAGTCGCAACTTTGAGAGGGTTGCCACGACTATTTCTATTACGACGAGCATTTTGCTTCTACTGGTGTGTGATAATATCGCTGTTTATTTACCTCAAGTGGTATTATCCACTATATCTGACAAGTAATGTCAACAGAAACACTTTAGAAGACTTTGGCAGGGACTGGTGTCGAATGCGCAATGAACGAGTAGATTGGGGACGGCTACGGGAACCTTGCATAGGAAACACGGTCTACGAAAATAATTTACCTGGATGGAATGTAGAAAACCGTACTAATGGGAGAATGAGTTTTGTTTCTTCCACTGATATTCAACCTGCTGGACAGTTTAGCAGGATTATCATTCAGTCCCAGACTGTTGAGGACCTTCCAAAATCGGTCGGGGGGGACTATTGGCGAGTTTTTATCTCGGGTCCCACTGGGTTTGCGCCCACGGTAACTGACCTTGGTAACGGAGAATACGAGATTCTGTTCTTGATCCTACATCCAGGGAATTATTGCTTGTCGGCGGTGTTGGATCATTCCCTATGTGACGGGATGAAAGACCCCCCGGATTATTGGTTTGTTTCAGGTAGGTAGGTAACTAAGAGAGGATTAAACGAACGTGTTTTGTTCTTTGGAATAAGCCAGGTGGATTGCCAGTCTCATTGTATCATCTTCTCTTATTGTTACTTAAAGCTGAAGTCGTGTTTAATGTTACAGTGCGATTGCATCAACCAGGGAACAAAACCTTCTCAGAGTACTTTCTCTCGAAAGAACAGGGGGGAGACTAAATACGATTTTAAAGTTTTAGATTAGTCATTATACAACTTCAAATACGGAGATTAAAACAGCTTAACCAATAAACCATTCTTTTTTCAGTGAACGGTAAAGGGTTAAGATTATCATCCATTATTGTCTCTTCTTCAGGGAACAGTCACGGAAGCAACCAGCCACAAGGAATTCTAAACGGAAAGCAAGTTTACTTAATGCAACCGCTTTCGGGAGGCGAGGAATTCTGTTTTGACGTGCCTGTGAGCAACGGGCCAATGAGAAGAGATGGTATTAATTAGCGTGTTGGTTTTAATTTTACGTTTTTTCAAACAACGTTGTTGTCTTGGGCACTTTTTATCTGAGCAAACTGATCTAATTGAAAAGATGTGAGCCGTGTCGACAGATTTTGGAAGCGGTTCTCCAGTTATCAGACCGTTTGTAATCATAATTAACCTCTCTTTTCCTTTGAAAAACTACGAGTTAAGCTTGTTCAACAATGGAAAAGGCGGTTTTTTTATAATTTTGTGCATTCTTCAGGCAAAAGAAGGCAAGTGCGAAGTGAGAATTACGTGGAATTGCGTCACGCTCGCGGTTAACCCCGATCAATGAATCCTTACCGCTAAGGTTGTTAACATTTTACCCAATTCGCGCGGAATACTTGGTTCTTTCGGTCAAAATCATGGTTTTTCAGTATTGTCATTTTTCTTTTGCAGAATTTTTGAGTTACGGGCTTGGATACCCGTCATATTGTGGAACAAATTGTAAATTTCTATCGGATGGTTTCGGTTACTGGAGCAATAGGACTTGGGTACCACACGCTCCTGGTAAGGTGTAGTACTTTTATTTAAGCTTAACTATCGTTATACACTCACACATCTCTTCAAATTCAAATTCTTAACTACAAAGACTTGAAAAAGTCTCAAATTTAACCAGTCTCAGTCTTTTTGTGTGAGAGGTGGGAGGGGTGGGAGGGGTGGGAGGGGTGGGAGGGGTGGGCCGAGTTTTCCCTCTGGACAAGTCATCCACAATTCTGCTTTAGGACAAAGGGCAGCGGAACTCAGGTACTATATAAATAATCGGGAGAAATCCCCGATAGGGCAGTACAGATCCAAACATGTTTAATGACTGAGTGATCTATTGTAACAGTTACATAATAGCAGTGCTTGCAACGCGTGAAGTGCGTGCAACGAAGCCCTATACTTATCAAAAATAGTGTACGACCGTACGACCGTACGACCGTACGAGGTGCTACTTTTAACATGCGTGGTCAACTGTACCGCGGGCACGCCAACGCCACGGCTTTGTCCAGTAGTCCAGTGGGTAGTGCACTGGGCTCCGAGTCGGACCACCGGGTTCTAGTTCTGGCCGGGGCAAGGCGTTGTGCCCTTGAGACGTGCGGGAAAAAAAAATGCGAGTTCCGCTTTTAGGCTTGGCTAAATCTATATATTAACCCATCAAGCTGAGAAAATTTTAGACTTTGTTTTGTTGTCATTTCGCATTTGACCATTCGAAAGGATAATCACGAATGAAAGGCAAAACATCAATATTTAGAGTGAACTTGCAATGGAGTCTGATTTTCCGTACCTACCAAATTAAGGGAATATTAACTGAGAAAACTTTCCCCGTCTCCCTGACCCATATTAATCTCTAAAGTCTATTTTAAATTTCGCGCCACGTAGGAAAGTTATACTTATTTATTCCTCCCATGATAACGTGGTTGATATTCTCTTGACCAAATGGACTGTAACAAAAAAAAAACCATGTTACTTATGGCGCACATTTTGAACTCTTATTTTTCAGAGAGATTATTCAAGAATTCTCCGCGTAAGAGAAAGGGAACTCTGTGGATCTATGGTGATTCATTAGCCTTGCGATTTTACGATTCTATTTACTACACATCTCTCTGCACGGAAATATTCAAGGCCTGTAATGTGACGTACACTTGGGTGTACAACATGATTGAGCCAGTGGAAGTTGAAAAGTACAAAAGGACTTATCGAGATTTTGATCCTTCCCGCGTGTTACAAGAAATTAGAAACGTCATTTATCTCCCTGAAATGGACGAAAACAGTGTGATAATTCTCAACTGTGGACTGCATTACGTATCCGCTTTAAAATTTGGAATTTATCGGAAGCTTATTGATGCAATTATTGACATGTTTAAAGAGACTTGGGAGAATGAACATGGCGTGATCGAACTAAAGTTCAAAGGGAAACTGATTTGGAAAACGACGACAGCCATTCACAGAGAGAGATTTTTGTATCATGACCATCCAAGCCCGCGGTTTTTAACTCTTCAGGTGCGTTTAATACCTATGTTCTAGTCAATTGATTATGTTTATCAAAACCAGTTTGCCGGTTCCCATATGGACACCCCGCCCGGTAAAACAGTGATGGCGTAAAACTTTTTAGAATATTGCAAAACGAAGTAAATTAAAACCGGTACATGCAGTTAATGATTACTTTCGACACGTGCTTGAAAATGATTATATTTTAATTGAATAATCAGTTTTATTCTGATCATTTTTTGCTCCTTGTTTCTCCACAGCGCATACAGTTGTACAATGCATACGCTGTTTGGGCCATGTGTAATGCGGGAATTGAGATTTTGGATGTTTTTCCGATGAGTTATTCGTTTCCGGAAGGAACCGACGGAAGTAGCGACAGATACGATGCTGTACATTATAAAAACATTGTCTTCAAACCAGCTGAACAGCTTTTGTATGAATATTTCAATCCTTACATGGACAAACCAAGGAAGATTGGATTGTATTATTCTTTATTTGGAAATAAAACCGCCAACTTGTAAATAAAAATCGTTTGTTTTTGTTATAGAAGAAGCGACGCCAGGGGGAGAGGGGAGTGGAGTGTAGTCGAAGCATCCAAGATGATCTTCTCTGTGGAACAGTTTACTACAGTTTACTATTACAGATGCTACATGCATGTGAAAACAATCATCTCCAACTGCTTTTAGCAGATGTATAGTTCACGAAAAAAAAGAGTGCAGAAACCCACAGATTGCACGCAATCCAGTGTGTATTTGCCTCGAACCACCCACAAATTCAAATCTTGAAGCCGGATTTTAACTAAATGAGATTGGTAGTTTAATAAAATTGTTGTAGATATTGTCTTATACAATTAATTTCATAACATGAAGAACATGCAGGACAACCAAATAAAACAAATTTACTTCCCAGTTCTTAAATCAAAACTCACAGATTAGAAGTCTACATTAATATTAGTAGATTGTCAAGATAGAAATACCATGCAACACGTTGATAAGGCTGTCGCTTCTCTTTAAGATCCACACTCCACACAATTATCTGGCTTTTGCCCCCGAGAATCAAAGGTAGACTGGTGAGAATGCACATTCATCTTGTGAAGTTCCAGCAAGGGACTTATCACTCGTCGTGTAACAAAAGTAAAGAAGATCTAGACGAAAACTTAAGTCCCTTTGTATCTAAATCTGAGAGTAGGCGACACCCATCTTGATTCACAAACTACATCTGACATGTAGATTCAACGATCTATGATAACGCATAGAAAATAAATGCGATATTTGAGGAAAACAGCTGTTAAATGAGTGGCGACTTTTTATTATTGCATGAACTTATCCAACCTTGCCCCGAAAAAGGGGGGAATTAGAAAAAAAATTATATTTAAATTTCTAGCGATAAATCCCTAAACTCATTAGCCGTCAAGTGCGATCAAAATAAAAACACTCCTTTGAATTTTAATATACTGTCTAGCAGACGGATGTTAAGAATTGAGAAATGAAAAAGTATAGGAATATTTCATTATCTTAACACCAAACTGTCTGCACAGGCCTGCAAAGAAATTCCTGGTTAGAAAAATGGATTTTAGAAAATCACTTTTGATCCTTGAGAGTGGAAGATTCCAGTAAAAAAATGTATTTTTGTATGCTTTCCCCGCATTTTCAAGTCTTTTAATTTTTCTGGTCTTTATCACCTAATTTTCTCCGCACGACACTTAAAAGCGCACGGAAAACCGCAGAGGAGACCATCAGTTAATCAGTCAGCCAGTTAATCAAATAAGAAGTAATTTATCTTGACGCGTTTTTTCTCTCAAAGTATTGAGCTTTGCGAATTATGAATCAATGTGTGGCACTTTTATTTTCAGTCGGTAGGGGCTGCGCTGATTCATGCTCTTGAGAAGAAACTTGGTGCTAATTTTACTGGAAAAACCAAAGAGTAGGAGTACTGTCTACGATATTATTGCAGAACCTGTGAAGGAAGGAGCAAAGAAATCTCAATGAATGAGTGTGTTCCATATATGTCAAACAAGACTCAATGCCGCACGCTAATCTGTAACCTAAGCCTCCGCTCTAGTTACCAGTTCTAACCGAGCGATTGAACTGGGTGAAGCATTTGATGGATCTCAAAATTTGATCCAGCTCAAAATTTGATGCAACCTAAAATTTGAAGTCAAGGGGACTTTTTAAGCATAAAATTCTTTTTATCACAGAATAGTTTGGGTATTGCATGGACCTCGCAGTATTAGGTATGTCTGGGGGCACTGGATGTACCCCGGGGGCAATGGACATAGTCCCAGATAAAAGGCACATGGCTTAGTGGACTTTGCATTGATAGTGGACTTTGCATTGATAAACTATCATCGCCTGAGTGAAGGGGGGGGGGGTGGGGGTAAGGCCCCCTTTATAGTATGTCAGCGATGACTGATTCCCCTCCGTTCTCCCTGAAAACCATGTGATCCCCTAAAAATTCTCCACCTCCCAAAAGACTGGCCTCTAATCTGGCGGCAGGAAAACTTTCCATGAAAGTAAATGTTCATTAAACGTTAAGTAAACGTTAAGTATTCATTTATTCCAGCTATTTTTTGGTTTTCGTCGGATTTCATTCGGAAATGTAAGATCGCTATAGAAATCGGAACGCCCTTTGATGACATTGTGACAATTTTCTTTTGTTTATCGTCCAAAAACGAACAATAGCTTCAATTCCGAAAATTTTGCTTTTAATTTTTTAACCACACAGCAAGGAATGCCAAATTTGAAAGGCACTATAACTCAATAATAAAACATGAGTTAATTAAAATGCCTCGCGAATGCGCACGGCAAATGGCAAGAATTGAACTTTCAGCTTTTGGAGCAGTCCGTTCGCGTTTTTCAGTGATGAAACATTACAGACAGTAACAATACGGCTTAAATGTAAACAACAGAAGTTTGGAGTTCATAGAAAAAAACGGCTCGCGAGCGTCCCAAAAACACTTCCTCCGCAATTGCTTTCAAAGGCTTAATCGTAAAAATGTGTTAAAAGCTGTCAGACTCAAAGCTATCTAGTTCCTTAGATCGGACTTTCCTAAATTTCGATTGTGATCTAGCACGCGCTGTTCGGAATGTTCGCGAATGCACGACTTGCAAACACGCTTCACACGCACCTCATTCAAAGGTCTCTCTATAAAGCTCGCAAAATGCCCTTTTTTATTTTATGCAAATCAAGATTGAGAACATTTGGCGGAAAGAAACTTTTCATGCATAAAATGCTGCAGTCATTCTTCATGCTTCACTCGCGCCGGTAAAAGATGGCTGTGCAAAAATTAAAACGACAATAACAAGAAGTAAAATACGAACTTTGGCCCACAATCATCAAATATGCTTGTTCAAAGTCTCTATTTAAAGATTTGAAAATGCTCTGTTTTAATAAATACAAATCAAACTTGAAAACATTGAGCGAAAACATATGAAGGCACAAAATGTCTTCAATCATTTTTTGGAGTTCACTGACACGTCAAGGATACACTTGCAGACGCTGCCGCTCGAGGTCGCATAATTGCGCTTCTGTTTCATTCCTTTTAGTCTTTCTCCAAAAGATCTCACCTTTTCCAAAACGAATGAATCCGAACTTAGTCATTACGCTTTCGGCGGTTCTACGTGGCCCCCCGAAGTGAATACCCAAAGGAATAAAGCGAGCCTTCTATGCACAAAATCCAGCAGCGACACCCATTTCTGAATGACACACTTACATCGACGTGAAGTTGTGATGAGCCCCAAGTTTGGAGAGTGGATTTCATTGTTGTCGTAACCGAGTTGCGGTTATAATCCACTGGTCTGGTACTTTGCAAATATTACAGCAGCTTTCTCGACCTTTCTAAAACCTGAATGCTAATGTGTTGTAAATAACAAAGATCATGTCACAACGAAGATGTCACCTATAGCACTCTACGAGTTATTTTGTGACGTCACTCACTCGTGCGTCATGTAGGAGATTTTAGACTTTACAGGCTGATTAAAACTTGAGCTTTGTAAAATGGACCACTGAAACCTTCGAGTAAGCTTTTCTCGCACTTGAATTCAAACAGGGCAAATGGTGTATAACTCAGACAGATGTTTTGAACAGAACATTAACTACTGTCTATTTCACTTGTTCTAATGCAAATTTTAAGACAGTAAGAATGTCATTAAAATAACACAGCCTGCAAAGTAAACAACGACGACTAAATAACTAGTCTCTTCAACTGTTGCCTTTGCTTTTAGCCAAAAGCACTTGGATTTAGTTTGGTTTCTGCGCATAAGCGATCAGATACGTACAAGTTGATTAGCTACAACAGCCACAGTCAAGATCTATCGGGGCGATAAAGGTACTTAGTTACCCAGTTTGGTTAAGTGTTTTGACTCCCTTCTGACTTGAATCTCGCTGCCATATAGCAAAAGGCTGATGAGAAAGACGCCCCTTCGACGCAAATGCTTCCACGCAAATGACTTAATCTACAATCTTAGTTTCTATAAGCTTTCTAAAGTTCGTGATGAAAGTGGTTAGAACTCTTTTGTGATTGAAAAAGTTCTGTTTATTCTTTATGAAACCGAATACTTATTAGCATTTTTGATATGTTCATAAGTTGTCTTTTTAGCAAGAGTTCCTTTCCATTCCTGCGGTCTATCATAGACTCCAGAAATTCGTAAACACCGGAACATTTGGGTTTCCCTCTTGCGGACCATGGGGTTAAGATATTATCTGTAGGCGATATTTTTCTGAGCATGATCAGGATTTTAGTATCGGTATTGTTGTGATTAAAAGCTTTTGATTCACGATAACTATTGCATAACAAGTCACAAGTTAATTTAATATTATCAACCGAGTTGATAACGGTAAATTAGCCACCGTAAATTGGCCTCCGTCATCAACTCAGTTGATATACCAAATTACCCTGTTATACTCTACCACTAACGCAGCACCACAGTTTATTGAGAAACTTACCCCTTTTATTAATTAGCAAACAAATTACACCGAATTCTTAACAGGACTTAGTAAAAGATAAAGTTAAGAATATTACAATACGCTTGATCAGAACTGAAATGACGCCAAAATAGACAACTGACCTGCAAAGCCAATGGCTTCAAAACGAAATAAGTAAGTCACGTACCCCATTCACATCAAATCTCAAACAATGTTTTCTCAATGTCAATGTTTTTAAGCTGGTCAAATCGATCTTTGTCAACTTATTTTTTTTAATTTTGTGGGGGGGAGGGGGAGGGGGGCTTCACTACCATGGCAACAGGAAATAGTAAACAAAATGCAATTGATAAGTGGATCAAAAAGAAACCTCGCTAAAAAGCTTTTTTAATTTGTTGTAAACTGATTTAATTGGAACAACAAACCCTCTCTCGCTTACACAATTATTCCGACTAAAGAACAGTTCACTTAAACCTTTTTGTCTAAATTGATTTCTTTTTACGTGTAATATAAACCTATTTTTGTCGTAGTGATTAATGAAAATCACATCTAGGCAACACGCCTTTAAAAATGTTAATCTTTTAACAACACGTTCTCTTGTTTCGAAACGACATTGTACAAAATCACGACAAACTAACCGAACAGCTGGCAATATCACGCGAAGTTGGACAGCACGAGGGAAAAGATATGTTGAAAAAATACTGAAAACATCTAAACAAAACAGAACTTGAAAATACAAATATCAGGGCGCACGGTAAAGAAAAAGAACATTTTTACCAACGAAATTGGCTCTTTTAACTTATGTAACCTGGCCTTTCGATGTAGAGATCCTACTGGCCGGCTCCTCTTCCTTCTGCGATTCTTTTTTTGTTTTACCCAAAATAAGGGGGAAAGCTCGGGACCCCCAGGCCCCTCCCCTGGATCCGCCACTGGGTAATGTAAATTGTTTCGAATTTAATTGTATTCGTGTTTCATTTCCTCATTCTCCCTGAGTTCGGTATGCCACAGACAACCCCTCAGAACCTTCTCTGAAGTGCTTTCCGGAGGTCACTAAAAGGAACCATGTGAGTTGTCACGACCATGAATTACAACAATTCTTAATTCGTAATTTTAGTCTTAGTTCAAAGATGGGATGCGGAGGTAGCAAGGCAGTGAGAACCAGAACAGCTCCAGCACCGATCGCTCTCGATCAGGGACAAACTACCACCATTATTACTTCTTCCAAAGAGGAGACAAGCCCTTTAAACCACAGAGAACAGCCCGACGGTAAGACAACCGTTGATCAAACTGTGTCAGAGGGACACCAAGAAACCCAGAAGCCAGATAATGAGGAACCAGTCACTCAGAAGCAGATTTCCTTGGTGCAAGAAACTTGGGGGCTAGTGAATGGTGATCTAGAAAAAGTTGGAGTAGACTTTTACATAAGGTAAAACATCTCAAATGTTATTGAATCAGCTTGCCCTCGGTCATCATATTAATTTACAAAAATTCAAGTTTAAAATGTTCCTAGTACATCCATGGGTTTATTGTATTCCAGCCGAAAAGTGAGACCCTTAAGTTTGCATGTGCTTTGAAGGAAACTTTCTCAGTGTATGGACACAGAAAGTCAGCAAAAAGATTTAACAGAGTTCCCTAGATCCTATAGCAAGATGTCTGTATTTGATTCGACTTTGATCCCTGAATGAAAAGCATGTTTTTCATCGTTCAATTTCTCCGTTATAGTCGGGCTCATTTGTATCATGATAAACTAGCGAGAAGACGCATTTGATGAGGTAACAACTTTTTAAACTCACAAATCAAACCTAGTTTGATGAGAAAATTATTTTGACCATGAAAAGATGTGCTGCCACGCCATGCAATGAGGTCAATTGCGAAATAATCTGTTTTTAGAACCCTGCGGTTTTACGCGATGCCGCATGTCATTTGCCAGGCCGAGACTGCAAAAAAAAAAAAAAAAACCACAACATTTGAAAAATACGTCATGAAGGATAGCCCCAACCAGCTCTCTATCGAGAAAAGTCACTGGTCTAGGAATGTTCTGTTCTGATCAACTGTGAAAATACCACTTCGGCAGGGAGCACTTAGGTTACAGTCGCCTGCCCGTGACTGAAATCATTAATCCAGTAACTTATTTACCACCTTTCATAAAACCTTTAATAATTGTTTGGCAATATGATGTAATCTTTAAAAAATTGCACCAGCTTATGCCAAGTGTTCTTGTGGACGCGGCGGGCGCGATAGTGGAGCAGAGCGAGATTAGTGGAACGCTTCTAACGCCTTTTACGTCCTTTTACCCTCTTGAGCACACCTTTTTTCAACAGAGACAAAATTTGTAGAGCGCCTTTTACTTACTACTTAGTGTATTTGTCTTAGAAAGCAATTTTTGATTCTTTTTTTTTTCCTCTAAGGTTGTTGAAGGCAGACTCAGAGATTTTAGAACTGTTTTCATTCCGAGACATTGACAAATCATCCGATGACATCATGAGAGCCGATGATCGACTTAAGAGACAGGCGCTGGTAACAATGCAACACGTGGACTTGGCCGTGAACTCGCTCAACGATCTGGGCTCTATTGTTCCTGCTCTCAAGGACCTGGGAGGGAGACATACGATGTACAAAGTCGAAGAACATCATTACGTGGTAGGCAATGAAATGTAAAGAAATGTATGTCACGTGAGTAAACAAATCGATATCTGCAGTCACACCCAAGTAGCCAATGAATACTCAAAGTAAAACCAAGGAAATAAGCAGAGAGGCGGGAGAACACGAGTCATTAAATTTCTGTATGGAAAGACTTCCTAAGTGAAATAACTAGCATTTATAGAGGTAAGAAATCGTACAAACGAAGCGATCGCAAGACTTCTTTGGGGTCAATTAAATATCTAGTTAGTCAAAAGTTCAGCAGTGACACTTCAGGTGATAGCTCTTGGTCAAGTAGACTTGTGCCTCTATTTTTTAGCTTTTAGGATCTTTTCATACTGAAATATACTCCATGCAAAAATATTCAGGACGGAAAAAACTAAAATCTGGGAACACTTTTTATTCGTAGAGCGCTTTCAGATTGAGAGTTAAAAAACCAAAACCAAAGAGATTACAACAGCCAATCAGGAGAGAGGAAAACATTTTAGACAATAGGAACTCAGAGCAAAAAGAAACAAACTGCCTAAAAGGCGGGAAAACGCGGGTGACCAAGTCGTGATTGGTTTTAGTTTTTTTGCATCTGATTGGTTGAGAAAGTGGTGCAATTTTTTTGGACCCAATCACAGAGCAAAGTAAAGCGAAATCAATGCTATCCTGGATTATTTTCGACAGTCAATTGAGAATTGCCCCTATTGTTTTCGTTTAGTTTAGATACATGTAGTTTATTTTTTTTTTAATTATTTTAGGTTGCAGGATCTGCTTTACTCGACACTCTTAACAATGGTCTAGGGGACAAGTTTACTTCAGAGGTAAAAGAAGCGTGGACTGTTGTCTATGGAATCGTTGCGAACACGATGCAAGCAGGAGCCAAAGAAGTTTTGGAGGGATAGACAAGGAAACATCAGTTCATATACTCTATACACAACCAAAAAATATTCTGAAAGGGTCTTTTATAGAACGTTTATTGCTGCGATTTCGCCTCATTCTGAAAACGTTAAAGAAACAAGAAACGTGCTCAAACTTTCATTGCTTTGTTTAAAACAAAACAATGCTGCCTGCTTCTCAGGCTTTAAAAATGTCTTAACTGCCTAATTGGTCACGGCGACAAATGTAGACTCGAATATACTCAGTACCTTCCGAAGGAAATCGTCATCGATCAGCTGTTAAGAGATTTTAAATATATAATTTGGCGAGCCAAGTATGCAGACATGTAGAGCATTTTTCTTCAAAACCACATCTAGACCTTGACTTCTCCAGAAAAGCTGTTATATTGTCGTGCCTTTCAGGCAAACTCAAGTAAGGGTGAGGCGAACCTACGTGCACGCGTGGCGAGTCCTAAGAGCGAGTGATGTGCGAGACACGCGTGACGTGTGACACGGGTCCTCTCCCGCGTGATCCACCCTTCACACTTGTCTACAGCTTTCCTCCGATTCCCCGGAAGACACCAAAAATTACGTCTCTCATGCAGGCTAATCTGTTTTCTTTGCTTTTGCTTTTTCAAGGTTTATTTACCTATCATGAGTTACTGATACTTACTTTTGCTGTCTTGCTAGTTTTTTTAATTTATAATTCAGAAAGCTGATAGACTGACTGTTGATAAGACTGAGTGTCGCGCTTAAGAAAAACGAACACGATGATCATTAATTGCAAACAAGTTTTAGCGTAAATTTTTTTGTTCGTGGCTTTCGTTTTTTGCTTATCTTAGTTTTCGCATCTGCGTAACTTTTGTTATCTTTTTTAATCAGGCATATATTGGTATTGTATTGAAGTATCGGTAGCAGAGTGTTAAGGCCTATTTACACGGCACGACTTTGTCGCATGCGACAAGCTTACGACAGGCCTACGACATGACTTAAGAGCCGTAAGCGAGTTGTAGGTTTGATTTACACGAAAAAATTCGTGTCGTAAGCCTGTCGTAAGCTTGTCGCATGCGACAAAGTCGTACCGTGTAAATAGGCGCTTAAAGTGCCTTTTGAAGGATCTCGAATATTAGTTGGTGTATTGTCCGACCACTGACGATCCTGTAACCTTCTTATTCCCAAGATCCAATAAGTTATACTCCCTTCTCATTGCATTTCCTTATCGATTAAATCCGAAAATTTGGCCATAAATCACGATAACACTCTCTAAAAAAATTAGCCGGTCTGTTTTTATAACCTTTTTGTAAAATAGCATATTGGAATTACAAGGAGAACTTATATGTTAATCAACCCAAAAAGCTAAAGGATAGGATTTCCGAAAAGGTTCACGGCTGTTGTGTCACAGATAATTCGTCGTGTTGATTTTCCATTGGAAAGTGCCTTTATCCGCCATTGTTTGCATGTTAATATGAAATGATATACTAGCATTTGAATGCATACAATGCTTTTGTAACGATAAACAAAAAAATAAGGTGGCAATCACCACCTGACTCTTATACAGTATATTTGTACAAACGATAACCAAAAAAAAAATTTAATAAATAAATGAGAAGAAAGAGACCTTTAACAGCTGCCTCAGTTTTAAGGGGAATACATTCATAAAAATGCAAACGTGTTTTTTTTTTAAATTTATTTTTTTTTATGTGCATCCTTTCTGGAAAGGAAGCATTAAACAGTTTTCGATTGCGTGTCAAAAAACCAAAAGGAAAATAGTGGCAAAGGTCAATTCGAAAAAATTTAGCATCATCTTAAGACATTGAGGACACTTAACAGACAAGCTGCTTGAAGAGTGGGAAACGGAAGTGATCGAGTCACGTTTTGTTCTAGTTTTGCATCTGATTGGTTGAGAAAGATGGGGGAGTTTTTAGACCACTGAAACAAAAGAAACCCCGGATTACTCTCAAATTTTAACTGAAAATCGCTTATTCAACTAAACCGTTATTCTGTTGAACAGAAGCTGGTTGGAATGCCTCGATCGACGGCACACAGTGCTGCAGTCCCACCGAAATTTCCCACAAATGCTCCCGGTCGGAAGTCATGGATCATTCTTTCAACTTGACCTCTCGGAACAGTACGAAGATGAGGACAAAGGAATTTTCGCGACAAGTCTAATCCGTAATTTTACTTTTAGTTTATATTAAGGATGGGATGCGGAGGAAGTAAGGCAGAGAGAATCAATACAGCACCAGTTCTGATCGCAGGACAGACTACTACGACCACATCGACCGCTACACGAGAGGAAACCAGCCCTTCAAACCCCAGACATCAGGTCGACGGTAGGATAATAGATGACCAAACTTCGACAGAGGATCGAGAAGAAACACAGAACCCCGGACACTGTGGTGGAAGATCTCATCGAGCCAGTCACTGAGAAGCAGATTGCCATGGTGCAAGAAACTTGGGGACTTGTGAAAGGTGATATAGAAAAAACGGGAGTAGAGTTCTACATGAGGTAACACATCTCCAATGAAATTAAACTCGACTAAGCCTTTGTTTTGTTAATCTAATACAATTCAACTAGTGTTTCCGCGACATTCATGGCTCTGCAGTATTCCATCCATAAACTTAGCCCCTTCGATTTTTACGTTCCTCCAGTGGGAACCCTTGGAAATTGACAGACACAGTAAGTAGATAAAAGGATCTTATAAAGTTGTTCGTTTAAATTTTATAGCGAATTTAATCTTAATCCCCAAATTACGAACACGTTTTTTCAGTGTTAAATCCTTCCGATACAGTTGCATATATGTGTATATATTTATTTACAGATAATTATATCATGGTAAATCATGACAACTTAATTATAAAGGAGCTGTCCATTAAGGACTCGAACTTAATTGGTTACAAATTCTTGACTGCAACATAATGCATTACAGTGACGCATACTTGAGTCAAACTGCACTATAAACTGTTTCTAAAATCCTGTTTTTTCTCGACGCTTCGTGCATTTGTGATGTCATTTACCAGCTCGTTACTGGAAGGGCAAACATTTGAAGAATTTTCCACGAATGATAACCCAAACTAGCTCCTCACTGCACAATGTAATGGCGAACGACGACAGGTATTTTGTCGACTCAGTAAATACCAAGGGTTTCTCTTTCGTCGACACGGAGTTCCATTCACGCCTCTTTATTAAAATACCCAACTAGGAATCTTGACTCCGAAACATCTTTTTTCGTATTTTGTTTAACTATAAACAGTCAAATTGCAATGCGATCTGATGCTTTGGAATAACGCCAGGCCATTCCGTGCGTTCAGTTAGCTTAACAGTACTGTAACAGGCAGGCATGACAATAGCGCAGAGGGGAAAAAAGTGGGACTTGTTTAGACACCTGAATAAAGGGGGTCAGCCTCTAGAGAAACTGTAGTGCTGCGCCGGTGGGGGGTGGGGGAGAGGGTGCTACAAGATAATTTGGTTTTATTAACCCTCTAGAGAAACTGTAGTGCTGCGCCGGTAGGGGGTGGGGTGGGGGGGAGGAGAGAGTGCTACAAGATTATTTGGTTTTATTAACTGAGTTTATCACACATTGTGAACTGGCCACCGCAAACAGTTTCTAAAGCTGAACACCTATTTAATTACATCAGATTACCTCTACCAGTGAGAGGTCTTTAGGGAGCTGTGCATCCGGATTTTCATCTTTTTATTTTGTCTTGATAACTAATACTAACCTAAAAAAGCAAGTTTTTCATTAATTTTAAATTGGACATGGTTTGATGCTACTTTGGTTTAAAGATTTAATGAATGTAACCGAGAGGTTACAATTCATAGACCCAACGTTTCGACAGAGACAAAGAAGTTCTTTGTCCTAGGGAAGCATCTTCTCCGAGTCTCTCCTCCGCAACCTTAACCCTTTAACTCCCATAAGTGACCAAGACAGGATTTCTCCTTACAATATCAATACAATATCAAGCAGAAAAGTGTTGAGAATAAAGAAAAATATCAATTAGGGGATTATAAATTGATCCAATCCCAAATTCTCCAAACTAACATCACAAGAACTGTATGGCAGGCAGTCAGGAGAATTGCTAATGAGATCTTGGGAGTTAAAGGGTTAACGGCCTATTTGCCAAAAGAAATGGGATAAGTCTATAGTTATCACCACTAATCGGCGTTATCACCAGCGCCTTTGTTTGGAAGCCTGGCATATCAACTCCGCCCACGCTCCTTTAAATCTTGATGATGGCGGCTTATTTCCTGACGCCTATTTACACCTCGTCAGAAAAAAGGTCAGCTAATTAGTGAGCGTGTAAAAGGACCTCTTGTTGCAGCGTTTAGATGAAGGCACTAGTAAGGAGTGTCGAAACGTTGGGTCTATGAATCGTAACTTCTCGTTTATATTCATTAAATCTTTAAACCAGAATAACATCAAACCATGTCTGATTGTCCACCTGGTTGCTATGTAAACTTTAATATATTTCAATTTTAAATCCTTCTCTCTCTCTCTCTCTCGCTCTTAGGTTATTCAAAGTGAACCCAGAAACCTTACAAATGTTTTCATTCAGAGACATTTATAAATCATCATGTGACAAGATGAGAGCTGATGATCGACTTAAGAGGCAGGGACTGGTAACCAGGACTGGTAATCGGGGTTCTATTGCTCCTGCTCTAAAGGACTTGGGAGAAAGACATGCAAAATACAAAGTCGAAGAACATCATTATGGGGTATGGAAAAGCAAATTACTTAACGCGATCTTTGCAGCCAGTGAATTATCAGACTGGAATATGTCAAATGATCACGGTCAAATAGAGCGTTTTTCGCAAAATCTAAACCAGAGTTACTGGTAAGTTATTACAACAGCCGATCAGAGCGAATTAAGTAAAACAAGGAAGTGAGTAAAAACAATTAAATTACCCGAAGCAAGGGAAATGCAATTGAAACAAGACGCGGACTACTTTCGACAGTCAATAAAAAAATTGAAATAAGTGGTAGCAATCACGTGGATAACACAGGTCCATCACACTTTTAATTTTCTTTAATGGTCAATTTAAAATCTACTGGTCTTTCAATTATTCACCCCTGTCCACTTATCGACGGGCCATTGACGAAGCAAATTAAAGTTATGTGGGCGGTATCGAGTTTTCTTTTAAGATCTCATCTAATTAAAACAAACTCCACGTAAAATTATCAAGGCTTACAATGCTTGAGATCTTGAAACACTTTTTGGGCCAAAATAAAAGTGCAATTTCATGGAATTTTGTCTTAAATTTATGTTATTTTTTAACTTAAAGCTTTTTGGGGTCGCTTTGCTTGACACTCTTGACAAAGACTCGAGAAAGAAGTTTACATTGGAGTTAAAGAAGCATGGGTTTTCGTTTATGGAATTGTTGCGGACAGGATGCTAGCGGGAGCGAAAGACGTTCTCGAAGGATAGATCACAGATGACAAAAAAATTTCTGCACAGTTCCTTACAGTGATGGCGCTGAAAGAGTAAAACAGATGCATTCATTTTAACCGTCATGACTGCAAGCCGACTGGAAACATTTTTTTCAATAACCACAGACGGCCCAAGCTCACGTCTCGAGAAAATTCATGAAAGCGTCACGCGCTGTGTGACGCGGTGTTAAGTTACGAGATTTGAACACGTAATAAGGAATAGTAAGGGAACGAAATATGGTCGTCGATTTACAACGATAAATATTTCGAAATATGAACATTTTACACGTAAAATCAATAAAACTTACTCACATCCAGTGTGTTCGTCGTAGTTTCTGGCGATTTCTGCCGTTTTAAGCTTGCTCTTCCATCACTGTTATTCCTGCCAAAAGGAATTCCTATTCCTTAAAACGTGTTCAAATTTTCAACGGTTTCTCTCGTAACTTAACGCCGAGTCACACAACGCGTGACGCTTTCATGAATTAATCGTTGACTTTTTCTCAAGACGTTGCATAATGTCTGACATAGTGGCTTACATGTTTAATAAGCACTCTACAGTCGTGTCTATGTAAATATTAAGAAGCCCTTCCACTAATGTAATTGTATCTTTTTTTGGTTAAATACTAAGGATGATAATGTTTTCATTATAAATATAAACACAAATTAAAATATTTTTAGCGATAAAGACGAACTAAATAAATGAGAAGCTATGAACTGTCAACAGCTGCTTGATTTGTGAGGAAAAGCTATTCATGACATAAAAACAGAGCTCTATCTGCATGAAAATAAAGTTAGTAAGTGTCTTGGAAATCACGATAACTTCAAAGTCGATCAAAGGTCGTGTGTTACTCTGTCTTGTGATCCAGGGAGGTCTGGGCACTACGGCCGAAGTTACACAACACAACTGACTCAAGATGGTCGCCGGAGCGTATGCAACGAGCCCCAGAAGGCAGAAAACGTACAAAAATGGCTACTCTACCAAAGCTAATGGATTTGCAGCTCATGAGCAAGCGAAACTTAAAGAGTTTAAAGAGTCTTTTACCGAGGATTTCGAGGATACACCGTTTCAAGTCGCTGTTTTAACGTATCTATCTTACTTCTTTTTGATTCTGTTCGGCTACTTACGTGACTTCATGCGAAAATACGGTTTGGAAAAGTCGAAAGCACCGAAAGAGGGCGGAAATGAGGTGAGAATGTGATCTAAAAGTGCTTTTACTTACAAAGAAATATTCATAGCTTCCTGAAATAATTACGGATTTCAAGATCAGGCACAGTTCTCTGATGTCAGCTGTTGCTGTACAATCACGAATCGCTACACCACAATTTGAGGGCGTCGACCGAAATTATTTTTAGTCAAAAACTTCCTTTCATCAAGCTTCGATTCTGTAACTATACTTCCCATAAAGAAAATTCGTCGAGGGAGGAATTATTTTTTCTTGGAATGTGAATTTAATGCCCGAGTTATTCACAAAATATTCGTTCTCGTTCTTCGATCGATGCAACGCGCTTCGTTTCGCAATGTTTTGACGGTGAGACGCATGGGCAAATGGACTGATGTTGTCATTGAACAAGAATGTAGAGGCCTGTGGTCATTCATAAATTTAAAATAACGCAATGTGACAACATCTAGATGTTACATATTTCCCTGGCAGTATAATGTATCCGCTTAAAACCCGTACAATTATGATGTAAGTGCATGCTATTGCAAACTCAACACCTTGGAAAGATCACCATACCAAGATAAAATGTGTCACTCGGGAAAATTAGCTCTCCTTTTTTTTCGATGAAAACAGTTACGTTAACCCCTAATCCACCAAGAGGTCTTTGACAAATTTCCTCTTTAGTTGTCTTGTGTTCATTCCTTGTCTTCTCGTTTTCATCCTCTGTTTGTTGGATATAAATTTGCTGTTACGAAATTTCTAGAGGTCACATGCTAATCACCTCAATAAGCCAAAGAGCTAAGGTTTGAAAATAAGGTCGGATTTTCATGAGGCCACATTTATCTATAATTTTAGGCTAAAACCTGATGTTTACAAATTGATAAAGAGGGTAATTTTGTAAAGAAACTACATGTACATGGGGTGGGGTGTAATTAGATAATTTGGTTTTGTCAGCTGACTTAATAATATGAATTGGCCTTGTCAAAATTTCTAAAGCTGATGTTTTGTGTGTTAGTCTTTTGTCAGAGTGAATTAGGTATTTCATGCAAGGCATTTTACACTGAGGTTTTTAATGTTAGCTTTTCATCAGAGAAATTAAGAGCTTATTTCAATCCAATGCTGATAAACCAAAATCATAGTAGTCACAATTGCAAGTCTTAGCAAAGGGAGCAAGGGTCCAATGAGAATTCAGAGTGAAAGCAAGCTAACTACTAATAGCATGGGAAACTCTGACCAACCAAGTTATGGTTGGTTTTTTGTTTGGATCTGATTGATGTCAGTTTTCTGAACCAATCAAGTGGTGAAATAAACCAGAACCAAATAAATCTTGGAATGCATACAACACTCGATTTGAAATTGCTCTAAAAAGGAGTGTTTAAATCAGGTTATTTTTTACTCTTTTTATTGTTCTTGGTATCCTGATATTTTTATGTTTTTTTTTAGCATGCTTTATTCATTAGTACCTTGTTCTACTGCACTTGCCCTTCCTTATACTCAGAACAATTTAACCCTTTAACTCCCAAGATCTCATTAGTAATAACTGTGTATATACAATTCCTATGATGTTAATTCAGAGATAATGTTATTCTATCAAACAGTAATCCCATAAATTTATTTTTTTTTAAATTGTTATTACTGGTTGTTATTGTATTGATTGTAACTAAAGGAGAAAATGCTCTTGGTTACTAAAATGCTCTTGGTTACTCCTGGGTGTTAGCCCTTTAACTCCCAGATCAAATTTGTAATTCTCCTTACTGTCAACCATACAATTCTTATAATGTTAGTTCAGAGAATTTAGTATTGGATCAACTAATTATCCCAAATTGATATTTTTCTTTATTCTCATCACTTACCTGGTTGATATTGTATCGATAATGTAAGGAGAAATTCTGTTTTGGTCACTCATGGGAGTTAAAGGGTTAAAGGATTTGCAGTCTTAATAACTTACTGTGAAAAGTTGAGTAGACCTCATTTTCTCCATACTACTTAACAAGACTTAAAGCAATGTTTAGTACAAAAGGAAAGGAAATAACACTTTAAAAGTGTGCCATGGAGAAGTGGGGTGAAATGAAAAGCAGTTGGCTGGCTAAACTCAAATTTCTAAACTAAGCTTAAAAAGTAAATCCTTTTAGCACATGTATCAAGCATGGCCTTGTTTTTCTTGATAACTAACACTTATAATACTGTGTAAAATACAATTTGGCCTAAGTGCATCAGATATTTGTTTGTCAATGAATAATATTATATTCTCATTGTTTGACCCTTAAATATTCAATATTATACAGTTCATGTAACTCCTATGCCTGCATGACTTTCTCAATTGATTTGTCCACCTGTCAGTGTGTCTTCATCACATTTTTAAATGTAGAAGTTCACAGTTTTGTTTCAGAAACTAAAGGTTACTTGAGTCTCTTCCCTTGTTTTGTTTTGTTTTTCTTCAGGGTTTTGTCCCTCTTTATGCGGATTTTGAAAGTTTCTACACAAGGAATCTTTATACTCGAATAAGAGACTGCTGGAACAGACCAATCTGCAGTGTTCCTGGTGCAGATATTGAAATTCTTGATAGAGTCACTGATAATTATGGGTGGTCTTTCAGGTATGATGTACATACCTAAGTTTTTAAAAATTGTTTTAAAGCGTTTTTTGCAAGGGACCTTCAAGGTCATAACTGCTTAAATTGTTGGTAATAATTATTGAAATACTTGCAGATACCAGAGAAGACAATGTGCCTCAGTTAACATGCCAAAAAAAGGCAAAAACTCAAAATTAAATTCATTTTTATGTATGTAAAGAACTGGACAAAATCTCCAGCTATCCAAGGAGTTGGTCAGAGCAAAACCTATATTTGATTGGACATTGACTGTTGACTAGCTATTGTTCTGAGCCTTAATCTTGCATTCCCAAGTTAGCAGAGTCAATTTAGAACATTACAGTTAGAATATAAGTTACAGAACTACTGTAAGGCAGCTTTATTGATTACTGATTTTATTAATGACATACCTGGTGTATTTTTAAATTTCTTTTCTTAGAAAAACTGGAGAGACCACAAAAGCACTTAATCTTGGTTCTTATAACTACCTTGGCTTTGCGGAAAATGTGGGTCCATGTGCTGAGGCTGCTGAGAAAACAGTGCTTAAATATGGTCTGGGAGGCTGTAGTCCAAGACATGAATATGGTGAGCTAAACAATGTTTCTGTAGCAGAAAATGATCAGTAGTAGAGCAAATGCCAACTCCTCTGGGGTGGGACTAGGACTTTGCATTTCATGTAGTACAGTGTGGGTGCCTCAGGCTAGCAACTTTTGTCTTTGGGGAACTGGTAAAACTTTACTTCTATAAAAGCTTTTTGAGTAGGATATCTAGATGTTTTGTATCAGAGTCCTCAGTAATTTCTCCAAGAGTGCAAAGTTTGTAATTGAGCAAAGTGGCCCATACAGTCAGCACTTATCTTGGTTTCTGTAGTATGAAGTGCCTAGGAGAATTATTTCTCCCCCCAGGATGAGGATGCTAGTCTACCTTAAGGTTACCCCTAAGCACTTCATCAAACTTCCCAAACACTTTGCCAGTACTCAGTTATACTCCTGGGTGGAGAGAGGAACTGTGAAGGGAAAGTGTTTTGCCTAAGAACACAATAATGACCCCAGTCAGGTCTTAAACTCAGACCTCTTAATCTAAAATCCAGCACATCAGCCGTTGGGTCATTGCTTCTTCTAGATTGCTTTTCCAAGAGTGCAGCTGTGGTAATGCTGGTCCAGAGCAAGGTTACCCATTAGGCAGTGTTTCTTCAGCTTTCCCTCATATTTTTGGATTTTGTTTTCTTTTCAGGAACTCTTCACATTCATGATGAACTGGAAGCTCTTGTGGCACGGTTTCTTAATAAGCCTGCAGCAATAGCTTTTGGAATGGGTTTTGCTACAAACTCCACCAACATACCCACTCTTGTGGGGAAAGGTGATTTGATTGTCAGTGATGAGTTGAATCACTCCTCCCTTGTTCTGGGAGCCAGATTGTCTGGGGCTAAAATAAAAGTCTTCAAACATAATGGTAAGAATTGATGATTAATTTGATTAAAGAAATCTGGTAAATACTGCGGGTCATTTTACAGGGAATTCATCATGCTGTTAATCCAATGATTGGGTATTGTAGTGAGAAATTTTATTTGAATTTTAGACATGAAAAGCCTGGAGAATATTCTTCGCGAATCTGTTGTTCAGGGACAGCCACGCACTCACAGACCTTGGGGAAAAATTCTCATCATTGTTGAAGGAATTTACAGGTATGTATTAAGTGAGGTAAAATGCAAGTTGGACCAATGCAGACTCAAGGCAATGCCAGCTGATGTTGTCATGTTAAAATTTAACATTGGTTGAATGAACTGGCAGGGTCTGTTGGGGTTTTACATCTCCACTGTATTGACTGAACACTTTTAACCTGAAGAGTGACTAGAATCTAAGTTCTCCTTACAACATCACCCCCAAATCAAACATCAAGGTCATGAGAATAAAGGAGATGATCATCAACTTAAGAACCTAGGAAATCTTTAGAGATCAGTATGGAGAATATGCTTGAGTTGATAACAGGATGTTATGTATACTTATAATGGTGTAAAGGGCTAAAAACACTGATTTGTTCATGAATACTGCAATTTTTTGTAAATATTGGTAGCTCACACCTTCCCATCATCTTAAGGATTACATTAGGTCTTTTCTTTTTTTTACTTTGGTGCTTTGTCTTTGTATATTGTTATGAGAAAATCAATGCTTTTTGGTTTTTGATCAAAGCATGCATGTATTGTGATTGAACCAATAATACTGTATATGGGATGGTGCCATGATCTCTAACACTAGGCCCAGAAATATTGCTTGCAAAAATACAGTGGGGCTGTAAATATCTGAATTTTTCCATAATTCATTTTGTGCTACTTACTTTCTAATGAATTTTTTTATTTCCAGTATGGAAGGTTCAATAGTGAGATTGCCTGAGGTAGTAGCTCTTAAAAAGAAGTACAAAGCTTACCTTTTCCTTGACGAGGCTCACAGTATTGGTGCTATGGGCCCCAATGGAAGAGGTGTAACAGACTACTTTGGGGTGGACCCTGCTGATGTTGACATCATGATGGGAACATTTACGAAGAGTTTTGGTGCAGCTGGGGGATACATTGCTGCAACTGAGGTTAGCATTGAAAAGTCTTGTTCTCTAGCTGAAGGGGGTGCTTGGGAAAAACCCCAACTGATCTAGTGATTGACTACTAGATCCTCCTGTTAATTTGTCAGTTAATTCCTTGTTAAACAAAAGGAGAAGTTGGTGTTGCATCAAAAGGCACTCAGGGCTTTTTTATTTGCAGTCCTTCAATTATGTATATCCATGAATCAATTTCCTGTGATTCATACTGAGAGATTAATTAATGTGAGACATCAAATCAAAAACATTCTTGTTAACAAATGATGATAAAAGTTTGGTTCTGATCTCTTTATCTCTCTTGTTGTGCTGCTCGGATGGTGAACTAAGTTTTATTTCGCAGGAAATAATAAACCATATCAGGGGAAGTTCCCACAGTGCTGCATATGCTTCTTCCATGTCACCCCCTGTTGTGATGCAGATTATTGCTTCCATGAAGATGATTATGGGTGAAGATGGCACTGACAAAGGTTTGTTTATCTTAACACTTTGACCCTTCAGAATGACAAGCATTCACTAATCTCTCTGTACAATAACACGCGTGAATCGCATATTAAGGTCATGAGAATGAAGGAAATGATCACCAACTAATGATACTCTTGATTGTTAAACAAATTCTCCTTGTCAGCACTTTAGAAAATGTATAGAGACTAGTAAGGAGAATGTGCATACTGATGTTAGGGTGTAAAGGGTTATTACATGGTGTACTTACAATACAGTGATCATGTGATCTACTTGGGAGAGGTGCTTAGCATGAAGTGTTAACCAAAGCACACATATATGAGGATTTGACCACCAGTCAGTTCCATTGTTACTTTCAGATGAACTACTTGTACCAACTGAGTGACAAACTTTTTTTTTTCTTCTTGTCAATTTTTAATTTGCAGGAAAGAAACGACTCGTTCAATTGGCTGAAAATTGCAAGTAAGACAAAAATTCTGATATCTTTGGTTAGATTGTAGAGGTTTGTGGATTAATGTACACAGAATTTAATAAATAGGAAAGTTAAAAGTTTTTAGCGATGAAAGCCAGGGGCGCCTGACATAACAGATACGTGTTGCTCAACTATATTCTGATTTGGATAAGGTAATAGTGTTAGCATCATTAACAGTTTGCATATACACGAAGTTTAGTGTAACTAAATTATAGCCAATTCTTTAAAAACGATTAACCATCAAGAATAGAAAAAACAAAAGGCCTACCCCATACATACTAATGATGCGGATGTATCAAGCTTATGCACGCACGTGCGATATTTTGACGCGCTCATTTCTTTTTTTATTCGCACTTGCATGCGACGTTTGGTGCGTATTATGTGCGTTTTTTTGGTTAACGTATATCTTAGCGGTACTGTACTCACACCATCTTTCCTCCTTTAGCTAAGCAAAGTTTGTAGATTAAAAAAATCGTGTTTATCATTAATTGGAGTCAGTCTTTTGACGCGTTAACTTCCAAGATCTGATTCATATATCTCCCTTAACATGTAACTATTACTGTTCAGGTACTTCCGACAGAGACTCAAGCAGATGGGATTTATTGTGTACGGTCATGATGCCTCCCCAGTCGTTCCTCTTCTTCTCTACATGCCAGCAAAAATCGCGTAAGTGAGACGCTGATTACACTATCAGTACGATATCTAGCAGACAAGTGATGAGAATAAAGAAAAATATAAATTTGGGGATTATTGGTCGATACAATTCTAAATTCTCCAAACTAACATCATATGAATTGTATAGTAGATAGTAAGGAATATTTTTTAATGAGATCTTGGGAATGAAAGGGTTAATAAATGGATTCCGTGTTCGGTTATATATGACAGACTTGCAACCCGACACTTAGCGTGTAGAGCAGGTGTGAGACTGCTGAATATTTTCTCGGTGAAAATTACAGCTGGCTTCTTTGATTTAATTTAGGGTAGCGGAAGAAAGGGGGCGAGCGACGGTTCAAGGGAAGGAGGTGGGGGGGGGGGGTGGAGTAACTCTAAATCAAACATGGGTGGCCGGATGAACGATCGCGACCTCGTAGCACCCACGCTCTAATAAGACGCTTGCATTGCAGGCTACCCAAAACTTTGTTTTCTAGGTGTGGTTAACCTGTGGTTTCGCTCTGTCGTGTGCTATATTGCGCCATGTCGAGGCTATGTGAGAGAGGAATACTGATAGTTTCCTTTGCATACTTATACAAAAAAAATGTATTTCTTTGTTTTTCTGTTTGTGCGTGTTGAAGCTAATGCTTTTTTTCTTTTAGTGCATTTGGCCGTGAAATGCTGAAAAGGAACGTTGCTGTGGTTGTGGTTGGTTTTCCTGCCACCCCTCTCATCGAATCTCGCACCAGATTCTGCCTGTCTGCCGCGCATACCCGTGAAATGCTGGACAAGGTGGGTGAGAGCTACTGTTGCTATAGCATCGAATCTTCTAACAGAGGCACACTTTTCCTTGGGAACCCCTTGTGATAAAAACAGCGTGACAAAGAAAAAACAACAACAAACAAACAATAAGTACTCAGTAGTCAACACCCACTGGGTTCTGCAATTTTAGAGAAGGAAATAAAACTAAAGAACCCAGAAAAAATAAATTGGGATAAATCTTCTTGGAATTAGGAAGATAGTCATCAATAATCTCGACTTCGTTCTGACGCAAAATGTGGAAAAAAAAAATGAGCCCCTCTGGATATAGGAGTACTCAACAATCTGTTACCAAGACTGGATGCTCTCGAATATCCTGTCTTGAAGTTGAATTTATTGGTTGAGGCTTTGGATAGTGCAGTTGACTTTGGCGCGTCGAGAGGAACTCTGAGAGTCCCGTGCGGCGCGCTTAAGTCAATTTTTTTTTTTTTTTTTTTTTTTTTTTTTTTTTTTTCGGCGTTGACTCGCGTGATGAAACTCGCCCGAAAAGGATGCACCTCTTGTAGTCTACGTATTCCTCGATTCAAATTGGATTCGTGAGTTGTTTTGGTTTACATGGATGTAAAAAAATCCTCTATGCCACTTATCAGTGTTTTCACGTGTAGTGTTAATTTTTTCCTTTTTGTAATATTTTTTTAATCAGGCTTTGGAAGCCATCGATGAAGTAGGTGACATTCTTCAACTCAAATACTCGAAACAGACACAGAAGAAATAGCTGGAGCTACAGAGGTCACATAGAAACAAAACACTCTAACATAGACATGAAATAACTGGTATTATTGTTTCTTTAAAATAATAATAATAATATTTGAATGTTACCCACACTGCAATGGCCACAAAAGAGTATGCTCTTTTTTTACTTGTGAGGCAAAGGTTTAGTTGCTGTGGTCGAACTTCTCTAGGAATTTTTAAATTAAATGCAAAGTGCGAGAGACTGGGTGTCAGGTGTCAGCGCAGTAAACTTTGAGGTCCTGTCAGATCAGGCTTTGATTGGCGAAAAGTTCTGCCCAACTATCCTTGAGGTACTTGCTGGGTATCTTAGCAAAGTGCTTGGCTTATATTTATTGAAGGACTTTATGTGCTAATTTTTTCTTCCTTTTCCCCATAAGTCTTACAAATAAGTTCTTGCGAGAGGTTTCTGTTTTCTTTGCCTAGCCTCTTTTCTGCATCGTTTCCGTTTCCGAACATTTTGCAGTTCATTAAGAGAAATAAACCAATTTTTAATATCTGTTTCCTACACACTAAAACAATTATGCAACTCGACTTTGGTGCATAGTTGTTAAAAATGGCCCAGTTATTTACAAAAAATATTGATATCATTTAAGGGAAGACTCAGCATATGGATATTGATTTTTTTTTAGACAATTTATACTTTTGGTCTACTATTATTATAAAAAAATGAAGTGCTCTTTCAGAGCGTTCCCTGCTATGTACAAACAATAGCGATATTAGTTTAAGGATGCCTCAGAACGCAGATATTATTTCTACTTTTGGTGTAGATATATTTAATCCTATCATAAGATCTTGGTTTTATATTTGCTTTTCTTAAATGGGGAAGGGGTGTGATAAAAACCATGTAGTAGATAAATATGGACAGTACCGGTTGAAAGCTGAATGCTTAAAGTTTTGATTAATGACAATCGAATGGGATAGATGTAGTTGTGTTAAAATATAAGCTCTTTTAAAGCCATCACCAACAGTAATCGAAGACGGAGCTTTGTAATAAATTGAACAATTTTTGTTAATAGGGTTGATAAGCACAAGAATGAAGTGATGCTAGCAATGGTGTAGAGAAGTCTTAAACAATTGCCTCTGCAATAAAAGCATTTTGAAGATGAGAGTGCTCATTTCTCTTTGTCCTTTTTAGCAGAATAATGATTGCGATAGAGTTCAGTCCTGCTTAGAGAAGTGGCGTATCATACAGCAGCCGGCTTTATCGTAACTTATTTAACCAATACCTAGTGGGGCCTTGTTGTGCTTTAGTCGGAGGCAAGAATCCGCTACAAGCTCTTACGGCTGATACTCTCAAGTGGGAATGCATGTATTTTACGGCAATCGTCACCTGCGAATGATCTCACAAAACCCTGCGGGTAATTTGGCGCGGAAAAAATGCAGGGACATGATATTTGATTTGTAAAGCTTCCACGAGTCACAATCAATTCGAGATAAATTGGGTCTGTGCGTATCAAATGAGTTTTTTGGTAAAAATTAAAATTCTCGTGTGATATTCATATTTCAGCTTTAAAAGCTAGAAGCAGTCTTTAAAGATAATTTCGATAAAGACGGTGAAATTGACCTCATGTTCATCTTAGCTCGCGTGATGGGTAAACCGCGTGACCAGATAATCGCGGGACTCGAAATATGAGGCAGAATGAGATGAGGTAACGCTAGTAAGGGGATTAACATAAATTGGAATAGTCATTTACTAAATTACTGCGAAAGTTTCATTGAAAGCCCAAGGAAGAGCAAGAACTGAGTTTTCGCCCATTGCTGCCAGTTACTTATTTCATAAATTACACAAAACAGAACAGTGTAAGTTCCTTTGGTAAAATCCCATAATCCAGTGTTTGACTGCGGCAAAATATATCTTGTCAAGTCATGACTTATTAATATTATAACACAGAATGAATAGTTGAGAAAGCCTCCGGCCTTGCAGGTGCATGTTAATTTATGGGAAAGCGTACTTAATCGCTCAACAATATGAAGCAATCATTATTCGTTTTTTTTAATTTTTTTAAATTTTTTTAAAATTTTTTTTATCTTCAAGATATGGAGCAATGATTCAATTTTTTACGAGAAAAGGTACTTTCAATTATCGAGCACAAAACGACAACATTACACATCGGACAAAGGAAATGACTAAATTACGACTTCTCCTGCTAAGCTTAAAGAAAAGCTGGGTTGATAAAAACACTGCTCAACATGACAATTGTCCGACTCCACCAAACTCGGCTTCTACGCTTAAAATATTGTTTGTTCATACAACAATAACACCATAACAACGGTAGAAGTAAGCCGTAGGCTAGCTTGCAAGCACTGAGGCCTTCACTATCAGCGCTTCAGCCTGCGAGTGTTTTTTTGCCCGGTGTCACAGCGGATTTGGACCCCCCCGGTCCATATCCGCTAGCGGATTTGGACCCCCCTTCGCGGATTTGGACCCCCCCCCCCCCCCCAACTAAACATTCCTTTTTCGTAACTTGTTCCAACTGCGAGCTTTTAGGCGATGTCCGTTAAAATTTCAACACAAGATTGCGTACTATAATTGACGAAGAAAAGGGCAGATATCGTTTCATTTCTGACACATTTATTTAAGTTGGTAGAATAGCCTACGCATGAATTAAATGACAACAAACTATTGGATTCGAACTATTGAAACTCATACCAAATCCTTTCTTATTCTGTTGCAATACAATTCTGAAGAACAAGTATGAAACTAGTACTACTCTTACTTTACTTCGTAAAGTACGTCATAATAGTGAAAACTATTTCGTCTCAGTATAAATAGTATAATCCTGAACAAGAACGAAACTAGCAATACTCTTACTACTATTACTTTACTCTTTTACAACATGTCAAAACGTTTCTATTGTGAACTGTTGGAACTCAGCTTATTTATAAATGCAAATCAACATCAATATCTTTCTATATATTTCACACTTTTTCAAGAGAACTGGCAAGCAAACAAATGATTTCAAAATTTACGTTTCATTTTCATTCCAGAGGTAAACAACAGACTTACAGCTGCAGGTTAATTAAACGAAAATCTTAAATTGAGACGCAATGCTGAGAAAAAGATCACGTCTACGAGAATGTTTTAAAATAAAAACCTACTTTCTGAAAAAAAAACTTTCTTTGAAAGCCTACTTTCTAAATTTTTATTATTTCTATTAGGAAGTTATGTATGGTAATGTTTTTACTCAGTTTTGTTAAAGGGGTCCAAATCCGCGGAGGGGAGTCCATATCCGCTAGCGGATATGGACCCCGGGGGTCCAAATCCGCTAGCGGATATGGACCGGGGGGGGTCCATATCCGCTAGCGGATTTGGACCGGGGGGTCCAATTCTAGGGGGGTCCAAATCCGCTGGGACACCGGCACCGGAGGATAGGCCTTCCACGGGGTCTAACACTGTGCCAAGACTCCCCAGCAAAACGTTGCCCCTCTTCTCAGATCTCAGCTTCGGCGGAGAATCGCGCGTCCTGCAGTGCTGAAAAAAAAAACATTAGGACAGGTGCGACCTGTTTTATTTATTATGATTGTTCAGTTGTTGATGATAGGTTTAGATCAAACATGCTGGCAAGTATAAATAGACCAAGTCTCGTCAGAACCTTTCATGTAGGATTGACAAGTAAGATACATCGAAGTGTGTCGTATTCTTGAAGGCGCTTTCATCTCATTTGATTGACTTTTATATTATACTGTTACGTTACGCAGAAACTTGCAGCCTTGCACGGTTAAAAATTTAAAATGGTGGCCGGTGCCCATGCAACGCGGCGAGTACAACATTCTATGAAAAATGGCTTTCCAAAGGGATCCAACGGCTTTGCAAGCCACCGGAGAGAGTTAAACACAGAGCTGGAGGAGGATCTCGAGGAGCCACCACTGTTTATCGCTGTTATGACATACTTGGCGTATTTCTTCTTTATAATCTTCGGTTACATGCGTGACTTCATGCGCAAGTACGGATTAGAGAAGTCCAAGTTTGTTAAGGAAACAGGAAATCAGGTAAGGATATCACTTTAATTAAAGAATCTTGTCTGTGCTTAGATGAAGAGAAAGTAATTTTACTATAGGCTATGCAATCTCTAAACCTTGATTTATAAATTAGGCAATGTAATTCTACCAGCGCTTAATCCTTACTTATGAAGAAACATTCGTGACTCGCTACGGCGAGTACGGCATTGAAACCTGTTTTTGCCGCCAAGAGAAAAAAAAAAGGGTAATGTTGGAATTTAATTACTACAGTTACAGATGGATTACGACTCGAGGAAACCGACAGAACACGACATTGTTTTATTAGTCAAGGGCGTGAAGTTGTAAATAATACGAAGGATATCTGTTTCTTTGTTATTTATTTATTTTTTATGAAACAACAGTAGCATACGTTAACCACGATGACAAGCATTTAAAAATTTCACTTTTGATTAAGTTCAGGTACGATCTTAGCAAGTGTACTTATTTTTTTCTTATATTGTTTTTTTGGTCACAAATGCAGTAAAACCGCGTAGGAAAAAAATTTGAATAGATAAGTCCATATGTAGATATTGCTAATATATTTTTTTTCTGTTAAATCGAGTAGAACAATGGTCGATAATGGGTAACTTTGATTATTTTTTTCTCAGTTCGTGAGCGGGCGGTATTCTACAAATCCTGCAATCTGACTGGTTCCGAGAGCGGGCAGTATTCTACTCATCCGGCCCGCTCACGGTATCCGATCTTTTCGCAACCATTTGTTTGGTTTTTAGAAAAAATTAAAAATGTTATTCACCAGCCAAGGTCGGTCCGTATTGGGAAAAACTGTGCCCTTTGTTTTGTGTACCGCCCGAGGCCGTAAGACCTCGGGTAATTTTCCCGGCTTCCGGCTATTATCATCTACATCCCTGTTAACCTGTCTATGGTTTTCACTGATTGCAGGGTTTTGTGCCGCTTTATTCCGACTTTGAGAGTTTCTATACACGGAATCTTTACACTCGTGCAAGGGACTGTCTTAACAGACCCATTTGTAGTGTTCCTGGCGGAGAGGTCGTGCTCGTGGATAGAGAGTCTGAGGACTGGAACTGGACTTTCAGGTAGCATGAAAGTAATTCCCCCAGAACTTTGTCAAAGTTTGATCGTCTTTGTAGCCTTAATTTATCAAATTTATCATTAACACTAGAGACATAACGGGGGTTCCTGTAGATCCCTGCCCCTTCGTGGATTTTTTCTCGTGGTTGTTGTTGATTGCGCAGCATGCAAACGTAAGAAAGCGAGAAAAGATCCACATTGGGGATGTCGACATCACATTAGGGTAGATAGTCTTAGTGTGACTCAATTAGACCCTACCTTCCCCCCCCCCCCCAATTTTTGGCTGCAATCCATGTGAATCTCCGTTTCTTACCTCCGTGATGCAGAGGGATGCAGTCAGCGGTCTCTTGCGTCATGTATTAATGCCCAAGTGTCTTTCTTGCAATTCTATTTCACTCTGACAAACTACCCTTTCAAGGTCTTTTTTAACCGCAACATGAAGGAAACTTAGAAAGTCCAGAAATTAGTAAAAAATATATCATATAACAATAAAGCTGTTTTCAACCGGAACAATAACACCCATCAATCCGCTTGGTCTAAATAGTTTTTGCCAATTTTCACGACATTCCAGCGGAGGTTGGATTATCACGATTATTGATAAAAATGATTAAAAAAAACCCTTGTACACTCTGGTTTTTACACAACAGATCTACAATTTAATTGCTGTTTACATGCACTCATATCTAAACTATTATTGACCAGGTTAAAATGAATTGTTTTGTTTAGATAAAGTGAATTGTTTTGTTTAGATACCCAGGAACGACAACAAAGACTGTCAATCTTGCCTCTTATAATTATCTTGGGTTCGCGGAGAATTCTGGGCCGTGTGCAGATACCGCTGAACAGGCTGTTCGTGAATATGGCATTGCGGGCTGCAGCTCAAGACATGAATATGGTGAGTCAAAGTCCGAGAGATACTCGTTCTGGCGCTGACGTTTGACTGCTGTGTTACTCCCGAAAATGTTGGTGGTGCTGTGCGGCGTGATTTTTGAAGCCCTTTCATTATTTCAGATTTGAATGTAAGAGTTACATGTACCGGCTTTTTCAGAGAAAGGGC